GTGCTCTGCGTTCTGCACTCTGTGTCAATACCTTTCGGATGTTGCTTTCATTTCTATACTAGCCAACCCCAGTGTGCCAGTCTTCCGTTTATCCCAGTATGGAAATAATGCTCTACTGTTTGCTGACGTCTCAGGCGCTCAGGAGAAAGCACGCTGTCTCCTGCAAGGAGGGAGGCCGCTCAGGGAGCATCATCGGTGCCCAGTGTCGGGCCCAGCTGGGCACTGCCCACAGCTCCCCATGTCCCTCCCCTGATCCCAGTGTGCATGACCACCACCCAACTCCTTCTCAGGCATGCACACGCAAGTGGACAAAATCCATGCCTGGAATTGAGTAAATTCTGCTCATCTCCAAGTCATTCTTTCTCTTGAAATTTCCTTTGCATGAAAAGGCTCCGCTCTTATTTATGTTACTATAAGTTCCACTTTCCAAGGGATTCAATCTCTCTCCTGTTTGTCTGATCCATGGCTCTTGAGAATGGTGACCACATTGGGAGACTTCTGATATGTGAGTGTAAATTCTTTTTTGGGGGATGGCGCTGTGGCATATGGGGTAATACCAGGGTCCTCAGTGCTGGTATCACATATGGACACCTGGTTTGAGTCCCAGCTGTTCCACTTCCCATCCAGCTCTCTGCTATGGCCTGGGAAAGCAGCAGAAGATGGCTCAAAGTGCTTGGGCTCCTTGCACCTGTGTGGGAGACCTGGAAGAAGCTCCTGGCTCCTGACTTCAGATCAGCTCAGCTCCAGCCATTTTGGCCATTTGGGGAGTGAACCAGAGGATGGAAGACCTCTCTTTCTCTCTTTCTCTCTCTCTTTCTCCCTCTCTCTCTCGCCTCTTTGTAACTCTTTCAAATAAGTAAATAAATCATTAAAAATCCCTTTATTGTCCATTCTATCATAACATTCAAGATTCAACTATGATATGGCATGACATGCAAATCTAATTCTATCCATATGTCACTCAGAGCTTCCTCTTCAATCTCTCTAAGTGTGAGTGTGACCCTCAGAGCATAGGTGAGTATTCACACATTATGAGTGCTCTCAAATTTTCTGTATTTGTTGATCTGTTGATAATCCGATGTTTCCAGCTGATTCCTCACACTTTGCCAATCACCGACTCCCAACCAGGATCTCTTCAGTAACCTTAGTTGATTCTTAAACCAAATTTCCCTTCTAACATTTTGAGCTGAGGATTAAAGATAATTCCTCACCCATGTTATCTGGAATAACACCATCCTATCGTAAGATGACCTAGCACCCAGCTCAGCAAACGGCTCTGGACTTGGTCGTGTGTCCCAGGAGTGGAACAAAGCTCAGCAACTGGACCGCAAGCGTCCCTTGGAATTTCCCCCAGAAATGGACTCATGGGACTCATGCACCTATTGAAAAGCACTCAGGGGCCGGCGCTGTGGCTCAGCGGGTTAACGCCCTGGCCTGAAGCACCAGCATCCCATATGGGCACCGGTTCTAATCCTGGCTGCTCCTCTTCTGATCCAGCTCTCTACTATGGCCTGAGAAAGCAGTAGAAGATGGCCCAAGTGCTTGGGCCCCTGCACCTGCATGGGAGACCCAGAAGAAGCTCCTGGCTCCTGGCTTCAGATTGGCACAGCTCTGTCCATTGAGGCCAATTGTGGAGTGAACCAGTGGGTGGAAGACCTCTCTCTCTCTCTCTGCCTTTCCTCTTTCTGTGTAACTCTGACTTTCAAGTAAATAAATGAATCTTCTAAAAAAAAGAAACAAAAGAATTGCTGCTCCCCAAGCCCACTGCCTGCAGTAACACGAGTAGTGCACTTAGGGGGCATGAATTTGCCTTCAGCAGTACCAACACTGGAGCCACATGAAGGTCCTATTGAGTCATGGGAGAGTGGGAATCTTGCCATAGTCAGAATTCTGTATTTTAGTGGATGTGGGGGATATACTGTAGGGACAGGAAGATTGACCACCCTACTCTTTTTTGGAACTACACATGTCTGGGCTGCAATTCAGCACATATCCTCAACAACAGATTGGGGGGGTCAGCACCGTGGCGCAGCAGGTTGAGCCACTGTCTGCAGTGCCAGTGCTGGGACCCCACGTGGGCGCTTGTTCTATTCCAGGCTGCTCTACTTCTGATCCAGCTCCCTGCTAATGCACCTGGCAAGGCAGTGGAGGATGGCCCAGGTATTTGGGCCCTTGCACCCATGTGGGGGACCCCCGAGGGAAGCTCCTGGCTCCTGGCTTCAGATCGACAAGCCCCGGCCGTTGTGGCTATTTGGCGACTAGGCCAGGGGCTGGAAGAGCTGAGCTCTCTCTGTGTCTCTCTGATCTCTTCCTCTCTCTATAGCTCTTTCAAATAAATAAATAAAATAAATCTTTAAAGAAAATAAAATACAACATATGGGAGACATATTCAGTGTCATAAACCTACAATCAAAACCACACTGGGCCGGCGCCACAGCTCACTAGGGTAATCTTCTGCCTGCTGCGCCGGCACACCACCAGGTTCTAGTCCCGGTTGGGGCGCTGGATTCTGTCCTGGTTGCTCCTCTTCCAGTCCAGCTCTCTGCTGTGGCCAGGGAGTGCAGTGGAGGATGGCCCAAGTGCTTGGGCCCTGCACCCGCATGGGAGACCAGGAGAAGCACCTGGCTCTTGGCTTCAGATCAGTATGGTGCACCGGTGCAGCGTGCCGCTGGAGCGGCCATTGTGGGGTGAACCAACAGCAAAGGAAGACCTTTCTGTCTCTCTCTCTCACTGTCCACTCTGCCTGTCAAAAAATAAATAAATAAAAAAATTAAAAAACACATTGAATCATTCTCAGAAGTTATAAACATTTGAATGTCACATTCACTGAACAATTAAGAAGTACATCACATTATCTCAATCTGCAAAAAAATTGAAAGAGCTTTTCATAAGTTTCAACACATTTTCAAGATAGAGTACCTTAGAAAATAAGAAATGAAAGTCTCATTGTTCTATGAAAAGAATCTCCAAAATAGAGAGAAAGCATCATATTTAATTGTGAAATATCAAGAACACAAAGAGTTGCACTAAATCATTCTATTTAAGATTATACTGGGGTGGGCCAGCGCTGTGGTGCAGCAGGTTAAAGCCCGGGTTTGCAGTGCCGGCATCTCTTACAGGCACCGGTTATAGTCCTGGCCCAGCTGCTCCACTTCTTTCTTTTTTTCCATAAAGATTTATTTGAGAGGCAGAGGAAGAGAGAGAGAGAGAGGGAGAGAGAGAGAGAGAGAAAGAGAGAGAAGTCTCCCATCTGCTAGCTCATCCCTTAGATGGCCACAATAGCCGGAGCTGCAGCGATCTCAAGCTAGGAGCCATGAGTTTCTTGCAGGTCTCCCAAGTGTGTGCAGGGGCCCAAGGACTTGGGCCATCTTCTACTGCTTTCCCAGGCCATAGCATTGAGCTGGATTGGAAGTGCAGCAAGAACCGTCGCCCATACGGGATGCCAGCACTGAGGACCAAAGCATTACCAGTATGCCACAGCACCGGCTCCTGCTCCACTTCTGATCCAGCTCTCTGCTACGGCCTGAGAAAGCAGTAGACGATGGCCCAAGTCCATGGGCTCCTGCACCTATGTAGGAGATCTGGAAGAAGCTCTTAGCTCCCGGCTTTGGATCGGCACAGTTCTGTCCGTTTTAGCCATCTGGGGAATGAAAAAGCAGCGGTGAAGGACTCTCTCTCTCTCTCTCTCTGTCTCTCTTAAAAAAAATGTACTGGAGGGTTAGGGAGTGAGCTAAGATGGGAAAAACTAAAATACAAAAAGTTTGCTATGGGGGCAAGCACTGCAGTGCAGCAAGCTGAGTGGCGGGCAGGACACTTTTTTTTCTTATCACAGTGCCTGGCTGATTCCAGGCTGCCCTGTGCTTCTGATACAGCTTCCTGCTAATGCACCTGAGAGGAAGCAAATAACAGCCCAAGTACTTGAGTCCCTGCCATCCACTTGGAGACCTAAATGAAGTTCCAGGCTCCTGTCTTTGGCCTTTTGGCTGTCTGGGGAGTGAACCAACAGGTAGACTATCAATCTCTTTCTACCTGTCAATCATCTATTTATCTCTAGCTCTATCCCCACCTCTTTCAAATAAATAAATGAATTTTAAAACATATTTTTATGAAGTTTCCAAGTTTATCATCATGGATAACTGTTATAACTATGCACGTACAATTCCAAGATGAAAAGGAATCTATTGATAGACTCTTAATGTCATCAGGGAAAAGAAAAAGAAAGAAAGGCGGTAAGGAGGCAGGGATACAGGCAAGAGACGTTCACTCGGTGGCCTGACATTTCTGGCTCCAGTCATTAAGTAGCTGAGCTATTCATGAGCCTCCAGCTCATCTCAGATCACCCACAGCTGTCCTGACACATCGCTGAGAGTCAGTCCTCGGTCCTCAGCAACCCAGGGTGGACGGGCACTCCCAAGACGTTTATTGATGGTTACGGAAGACCTCTGACCTCCCTCTCTCTCCTGCTCTGGTTCACCAGAACCACTCAGAACACATTGTGCCAGGCATCCTCCGCCCAATCCTGTGTGATACAATGGGGGCTGCAGAGACAGACGCCTGGGCTCATCTTGAATCAGGCTTTGGTAGTGAGCAGACGTGGACTCACACATTCACCTGACAACTGTGGTCACAGCTGCAGCATGCCCCTTCCCAGAGGCCCTCCCACAAAAACAAGCTGCAGAGGGACAGCTGCCCTGACCCTCCCACCAGAGCAAGAACTGTCACGTGACCCACACTGGTCAAAGCAGGAACCATGCTGGCAGTGTGCCTGCCTCCCTTTTATCTCAAACCCTGGTGCCATGACTTATGCTCAATTAGGAGACAAATTAAACACTTACTTTCAGAAGACTCACAGCATTTAGAGAGCATCTTCCTCCCTGAATGTCCCAAACTGACCACACAGCACAACATAAACAACAAGGAAGACGGCTGCTCATTGGCCCAAACACTGGAGGCCCAGGGTATAAAAGGCCCAGAGCACACAGCACCATCATATTCTGGGAAACTCACCTGTGAAGTAAGCCCACCCTCCCCGCCAACACCATGACCAACTCCTGCTGCTCCCCCTGCTGCCCGCCCCCCTGCTACAGCACCACCCACTGCAGGACCACCTGCTGGAAGCCAGCCTGCGTGTCCAGCTGCTGCAGCAGCGCCCCCTGCTGCCAGCCCAGCTGCTGCCAGCCCAGCTGCTGCCGCCCCACGTGCTGCCAGACCAGCTGCTGCAGGACCACCTTCCAGCCCAGCTGTGTGACCAGCTGCCGCCGCACCCCCTGCTGCCAGCCCAGCTGCTGTGTGGCCAGCTGCTGCCAGCCCAGCTGCTGCCAGTCCTGCTGCCGCCCCAGCTGCTGCAGCGACCCCTGCGGCCAGGCCGGCAGCTGCACGCCCGTCTACTGCACCAGAACCTGCTACCACCCCACGTGCGTCTGCCTGCCCAGCTGCTGCCAGCCCTGCTGCCGCCCGTCCTGCTGTGAGCCCAGCTGCTGCCGGCCCTCCTGCTGCTGAATCACTCTGCAGACCGGCATCTGGCACAGCCATCCCTTGGCAGCTGCTCTACCAGTTCCTTGGGCACTGCCATGAGCTCCTTCCCCAGGCTTCTCTGACACCCGTGTGCTGCTGCCGCCTCTCTCTCAGTTTCCTGATGAAAAGGCTTTGTGAGTTCTCTCGGTAAGATGCTGACTCATGCAGAATTTCTGAATCTTTACCTGCTTGCTAGGAGAGGGGCGGGCGTCTTTGTGCCTTTTTTTTTTTTTTTTTTTTTTGACAGGCAGAGTGGACAGTGAGAGAGAGAGACAGAGAGAAAGGTCTTCCTTTGTCATTGGAGGGTTCACCCTCCAATGGCCGCCGCGGCCGGCGCGCTGCGGCCGGCGCACCGTGCTGATCCGATGGCAGGAGCCAGGAGCCAGGTGCTTTTCCTGGTCTCCCATGGGGTGCAGGGCCCAAGCACTTGGGCCATCTTCCACTGCACTCCCTGGCCACAGCAGAGAGCTGGCTTGGAAGAGGGGCAACCAGGACAGAATCCGGCGCCCCGACCGGGACTAGAACCTGGTGTGCCGGCGCCGAAAGGCGGAGGATTAGCCTAGTGAGCCGTGGCGCCAGTTTTGTGCCTTCTTGACAACTGGTCATTGTCTCAACTTCAGGAAAATGACCACAACTTCCCTTTAAGTAATCTAAGTGCAATCCTTAGGATGTTTTCTTAAATTTGTCCATATTTATTCTTTCCCCTTATAATCATATTTTTTTACTCATTAATTCTCTTGGTCTTAACTTTCCTCCTTTTTCATCTTAATCTTGGAGGTGCCTTTTCCAGATAAAGGGGAAAATGTCCCCTTTATTCCTTTTCAGGGAAGTTTCTTTTGCTTTTCTTCCGGCCTCTATCATGAGTTGTGTTTTTGTTCAGCATTTATTTCTAAGACTTCCATTCATACTTCATTTCCCAGGTGTTACCTGTTCTGAGCCTGATAATGAACGCGAAGGTCACAGAAGCAAGATCATCCTCCCCTTTCCGGGTGAATAAAGCACCCCTGGAATGCTCCATACGCCTGTGGTCAGAATTTGCTGAGGACCTCAGGCCTCTGATCCTAGTACTGGGACATTCACATTTACATCTTTCTACAAATGCACACACACACACACACTCACACACACACACACACTCACACACACACACACCTGGGATCTGAGCGCTTTGGAGCACCTGTCCCCATGAACACACACATTTCCAGATGCAGACAATGTTTCTGTCTACAGATGTGTCCTCCCATGCCTTAGGTCCATTGTAAGAGCGCCCTTGAGGTTTCGTCGTCTGTTCCTGGCGCTGGGTTAGCACAGACACTTGTGCTTGGATGTCAGCGGCGGCCTTCTGGGACACTCTCTTTCCTCTGGCCTTGTACAGTATGGCGTATGAAAAAGGGATTGCGTGAGACACACATCCTCAGGCAGTAGTCCAGGCAGCCTCTCCCCATACTTTGAGTCAGTGCTTTCTCCAGACCATTGTTACGGTAACTAAGGATCAGCATAATCCAAGAAGTTGAGCGAATGACACCAAGGAAATCTTTCTGATCCATGAAGTCTTGGCTAAGAAAGAAAATTATTCAGTGTGTTCACTCAGCTTCCTCTTCCTTCCCTACTACCAGTTGGGACTTTGGGAGGGAGACTGCGAATGAAGAATTAACAGAGTGATCCTTGATTTCAGCACGATATATTGAGCACTTGCTGTGTGTGACGTACGGTGCCAGGTACCGAGATTACAGACGTGAACAAGCCGTGCCAGGACTCTCACCTTCATCGTGTTTCTCTAGATGAACCCAAACAGGAGCTGAAATTTCCACGCCAGAAGTGAGGGTGAAGAACCCACATCTAATGACACAGGAAGGTGCTTCCAGATGCTTGTATGTAGCAGCATCACTTCCTGCCGACCAATCGAGAGGGGGAAGAAAGAAAAACCTCCCGTAGGGAATCTACAAATCAACACGGTGTAGAATAGCAGAGGTGATAAAGAAAAAATTCAGGCACAAAAGTCACCCCCCTAAAAAAAAAAAAAAAAAAAAAAACAATGCTCATGCAAAGACAATGGGATATAAACCAAATGAGAGCTGGTTAGGATATATTAAAGCATGCCCCCAGAAAGCTGCTGTTAGTAGGCTGTAAAACACAGATTACGTGGCTGCTCAGCTGTCTTATTTCAGTTCCCCAGGGCCCAGCCTCTCCTATCCTCTTCCACAATGGAAAATATATGGAGGAGCCTAGAAGGAAAGATGAATATCTGGAGGCACAGATAGTCTTCCTGGCCAGATGCAGAAAATTCATGAAGATAAAAAGTGCAGATTCTAGAACGGGCATACATGCAAGGGGGAGCGAGGGGACATCCAACCACCTTTGTATTCCGATATAACTTAAGTAGGAGGTGAATCACTCTGAACTTGATTCCAACAAGGAAAAGGACCTGTCAGTCACGTGTGTGACAAGTTTGCTACAATGGAACCTCTAAAAATGTGAGTCAGTGGCGCGCAGAACGGCTCGCTGGTCTGGAACTGCGTCCTACAGGCGGGAAGACACTTGCCATGTTTGCAGAAAAAAGAAATGTGATTTCCTAACACAGGGCACTGAAATAGAGGGAGCCAGGAAATGAGGTGCGCTGCGCTCAGAGGTGCTATTCTGGCTGTGGGGTCACACGTGCTTCTAATGGGCGCGGGGGGGGAGGTCAGAGGGCCTGGAGTGAGTGCAGCCTGGCGGGCGGAGCAGCTCCGTAAAAGCTGTCCCAGGATGCAGCAGACCGCACTGGGCATGGGCATCTACAGCTGTTTGACGTTCAGACACTGGATCTGACCACTGCTTGGCAGGAAGTTCGTCAGGATTCCTTCCGTGCTTGAGATTCTTGAGGTCCCTTGCCCCCATCATTATCTGGTGCATTGATGGCTAACAAGTTGCTCTCATTCTCTCAAGTCGATAAGTATTCAACACATGATCCTTTAAAGAACTCTACACACTGTCAAGATAAATGATGCTTGCTTGGAGAGGGGAAAATAGCAGTCATCTTCCAACAGGCTCTTAGGACAGAATTCACAGCCTGGGCAAACTTCTCAGGGTCTGGCCAACAGCCCTGCACACACAAAGACTTGACTTTGTTTACTTAGCCAGGGTGAAGCCACCTTTGGCAGCAGCGAAGCCCATAAAGCAAGGACACCTGTTTATTAACTTACAGAAGAATTCACTGCCAGGAACTTAAGCACCACGTGAGCAAGGAACTCATACAGGAAGTGAAGAAGCTAGATACTGGACAGGAATTTGATGCATTCATTTCACAACAGGTCTCTCCAATGGAACTTGGAAAACTCACAATGCCATGACCAACTCTGCCTCTCCCCGAGCAGCTGCTTCAGCACTTGCCTTAACTCCTGGCTTCCATGGCTCACCAACACCCTTGCTATAATTTGAATATGATTTGACTCCTACAATTCATTCATGAATTAAAACTCCAAAGTCTTAAGGTAATGGTACTGAGAAGGCGGATGCTTTATCCAGTTATAGTATTTATAGTTAGGATCTTTGAGAAGTGATTGGTTTGGATTAGATCAGCAAGGTGAAGACCCCATGTCCAAATCCTAGTGGCTATATAAGAAGAGACACAAAACCAGACACACAACTCGCCCCCTGTTCCTTTTATGTGATGCTTTGCAAACCCACAGGACACTGACAGCAGGAATGCCATCCGCAGGGATGGAGCCAGTGGGACCCTGTCCAATCTTGGACTTCGAATCTCCAAAACTGTAGGCTAGATGAGCCTTTTCTCTCTATAAGTAAATTGCCTCCAGTAGCTTGCTGTAGTAACAGAAAACTATCCAACCCTCACTTAGGTTCACATTTCCATATATTCTGTCAGATCTGATCAGTTCCTCAGACTTGAAGATATACTTCTTTTTTAAAAGGTGATCTTATGCGATTTGGCATTGCTCTTTTTAATGTAGATTCCAAGCCTTGGATGGTACCTTATTGTAGTTCCCAACTTGTGATGCATCCTCACTCACACCTTTGCGTCATGAGCATTCCTGAAGGAATTTACATCTTAGTTCCTTCCTACTATAGCATCTGCTAGTTATTTATCACATTTCTAATTATATTTCAAGATGACTTAGGGTTTATTTATCTTTCTCTTAGCTTTCAAAGTCTTTTTTTAAATCCCCGGTAATGTATAATTATCATCATAACAAGAATGATAGATAATTATCATCAGAAGGTTGCATTGGCTTATATTTTTAGTGTCTTTGTTCATCAGGTTCTAGTTCAACATCATATCTTGTCAAAAGTGGCACACCAATTGTACTTGCAGTTGTACTGGTGATTACATTATAGTTCATTATTCTTCTTATGATTGGACTCAAGCATAGGAGACAATTCCTAGGTGAGGCCCTCTGGGGCATTGAACAAGGGTTAACTGCAGAAATTTGCAGAGAGCCAGTCTCTGTCTCTGTCTTTGCTTCCTCCACTCAGTCAGCTTTCGTGACCAGCAACCTCTTCCCTAACATCTCTCCCTTGGCACATGGCTCAGAAAATGCACATTGGCATATTTCTTGTGTGTGTGCTTGAAACAAGAATGAGTGTTATACTCAAAGACCAAACCCCGAGGTACATCGGATTTAATTTAATTTGATTTAACCTAAGGAGAAGAATATTTTAACATAAAGAGAATGAGAAGACTTTTAGAAATGACAACAGAGAAGTTATCTCAAAGTCAAATTAATCACAAAAGAAATAAAAGTGTTGCAGTCTTGGAGGTAACTTATGTGGAGAACACAGAATTAAAAATTAATTAAATATAAATTAATTAAACACAAAATGAAAATGATTCTCAGTTAAACATGTACAGATACCAATCTGAGAAAAGAGTAAGCATTCTGTGAAAAAAGAGAAATTCAGAGTATTGAGATGGTTAGTAATTGATCAAGATATGTTTACAACATTTACCTGTCATTTCAATCTCTTTATGTAAACCCAGAACAGGTAGTTAGAAATGATGATAAAATCAACCTTTTCAATGAGATTCCACCTCAGTTTCTCAATTTTTCTTTAGAAACCATATCCTCAAGACTTATTTTTTAGGCCCTAGTAACCACAATTGTTCAATATTT